CATAATTATATGTTAAAACCATACACTTTCAGATAAATTAAAAATAAAGAAAAAATGTAAAATAAAACTTACTGATTTCTCAATTATAGATGCATGCACAGTATGTCTCAATAATTGTTTTATTAAAAATATTTTTAAGAATGAGTTAATTTATAAAACATAGAAAAGGCACCATAAAATTCTGTATTATGAGGGAATAAATAGCTCAGAATTCATGCTCAGTATGGCCATATAAAAGTAGCATTAAGAAAGCTTCTGTTTTTACATCCTTATATAGTAGCTAAGATATAAGGTAGCTGATGTTATTTAAGTCCACTTGTCATAGTGGATATGATAGGCTTATATTATTCTTTATAAGTGAAATTGCTGCTATGATGGTGCTTTAATTATATGCATAGGAGCCACCTAGTGGCATAGTTGGGTAAAAGTATGAAATTCTTGAATAAAACTTGAGAAGCAATTGCTTTGAAAGTAATAGATGGAGCTAACTTAGCAAATTATGCTTCACAGCCATCAATCATTGTTGATTAATTGCTTGATTACCAATCAGTGAGACATAAATGGTTATGATTCATTTCTGACATTGGCTTATCTAAGTGTAATGAACATGTTCTAGATCCAGAAATAGTTTCATGCATAAAAACAAGCAATTTTATGTAATTGTTTTCTTATGGGCCATTTAGACTGAACATAGATGCTAGCAATAAATGAGGAAAATAATATATAATTCTGTCAAGTCCATTCTGAAAAGTTAGCATTTTGTTCAGTTGTAAAGCTAAAATATGTAATCCTGACTCACTGCAGCTGTTTTACTTTAATAACAGCAGCCAATTTGGTGGAAGCCAAATTGCCCCACCCTTTTGCTGATAAAATCTGATTGTTAACTCCAAAGGTGCAGTTTTCTGAAATGGAATCAGGTGTGGTGGTTCTTTTTCTGAAAAATTACCTTCCTACATTTAAGGCTGTTAAAATTAGGAAGTTGTTGATATACATCATTTACCCTATGTGAGTGCTTTTCTCCTGGATTGTGTGTCTAATTTTTCTTTTGAATCTAGGGTGTAATGTATCACTATCATGAAAAGTAATTAGTATTTGTCAATTTTTTATAACTTTTACAACTAACTAGGTTGTAATTTATCCTGAGGTAGTATGTTCCATAACTGAACTAGAAGTTGTGTGAAATGGGGTTTCCTTTTCTATAATTTGAAACTCATGTATTAGATGATGTGAAATTTTAGTGTAATGAGAACATGGGTCAAAGCTTTTCTGTATCTTTTTGCATACAAAAGATAACGTTCAGCTATTAGAATACTTCAATGTGTTTTATGATGAAATGCTTATTAGTTCTAGAATGGATATATTTTCTCTTTTTATATCAATTATAACTATAAAAATCAAAATAGAGTACTTTCAGTCTTTATTATGGACTAACTCAGAGATCATGAGTTCTAGTTCCATCTTAGGCATGGAAGCCAACTGGGTAACCTAGGGCCAATCATTCTTTCAGCCTAACAAGCTCATAGGATTGTCTTTTTGGAGAAATTTGGAGTAGGAAATATTAGATATGCTCAGTGTCTTGAGTTGTTTATAAAAATTATAAAGACAGGATATAAAATAAATGAAACTATTGAGAACATTACTAGATAATTAAAATCAACAGGATGATATAAAGGTATGGATATATGATAAGTCTTACCTTATTTAAGTGGAAAATATGTATATATAGGTAGTCCTTGACATACAACCATTTATTTAGACCAGTGGTTCTCAACCTTTCTAATGCCGCGACCCCATAATACAGTTCCCCATGTTGTGGTGACCCCCCAACCACTTATACATCACCGGGTACCAGGGGCGTGGCCAAAGAAAAGGGAGGAAAAATGGCGGACAGCCTTGTTTGGTGACCCGCGAAATGGTCGTTTGACCCCAAATGGGGTCCCGACCCACAGGTTGAGAACCACTGATTTAGACAGTTGCAACAACACCACAGTCACATGGTCAAAATTCAGATGTTTGGCAACTGGTTCATAGTTATGACCTTTGCTATGTCCCAAGGTCATGTGATCACCTTTTGCAACCTTCTGACAAGCAAAGTCAATGGGAAGCCCGATTAACTTTACAACCATTTGCTAACTGAACAACTGCAATGATTCACTTAACAACTGTGGCAAGAAATGTCATTAAATGGGGCAAAACTCACTTAACAACTATCTTAGCAACAGAAATTCTGGGCTCAATTGTGGTCATATGTTGAGGATACCTGTACACATACATTCATTCAATTTCATTTCAGTCAAATAATATACTCTTTTTTTTCCTTTTTGAAAAGCATGTTAAATGAAGTAGAGAATATAATCCTTCTAAGATATTTTTGTGCATTTATCATTGTGTTTTCTGTTACTTCTTCTACCCATTTGCTTTTTGATTTTGTGTAATGGTATCCATGGCAACTGCAATTTCAATTTCCTTATTTTTGCCCATCAATGAATCCTTTTCAGGCTATGTGAGCAACTAAATCTCATTTTTGCTGCAGCTGTAGTCACTTCATACTTATTTAGAAAATGCAGTGTAGCTATTCCTTTAAATCATTACAGTAAATTATTAAACATTTTTCAGTTCAGTGTGGAGCACCCCAACATTCAATATTCTGAGAACCCTATTTTTTTTCAGAAGTCTTTTGAGATTTGCCTGTTTGCCTATACTAGAATCAGCAGGTAGAAAAGTAATACATATGTACAGGCAATATATCTCCATTGCTAATCATTTTATAAACCGAATTTTGCTTAAAATAGATAAGTATTTGTCTTTTTACATTTTCATGAGCACCATTTTTTGCCATCTCATACCATGGAGATAGTGTAAATAAAGTTTATTGAAATGAAAAAGATCTATTCTTCCTTTACTCTGTTACAGTGAAAATAGGTTGAAAAATTAATAATTTCAATTAGCTTGAGTTAAAATTTTTGCAAATAATTTTACCAAAATGCACAATGAGTTTCATTCTTCTTTAGATATGAAATCCATTTCTGATTTAATTTGGAGAACATGTTTAGCAGTATAAATAGTATTTGATGAATTTTCTTTTGGATAAAAAAGAATAAATGTATCAAAAAGCTCAATCAGTTGTAGAATATGGAAGGAAAAAGCACTAACCATGTTTTAGGCTTGTTTGTTTATTACCATAATCTACATGCTGCTTATTTTCAAAACTTCTGTAGCATAAAGTGTTAATATAATAAGACTGTAAGCAAAAATGAGTTAATAGAATAATTCACAGGCTGGTGGGATCGTGTGACCTTACATTTCATCATTAGCCACAGCTGTGTCAGCCAGAGCCTATTTGTTTCTTCTGAACCTTTAAAGTAAGCTTCTACTACTTGTAAGGTGCGAGAAGGTTTGGACTGCAACAGGGTGGAATGGTGGTCAAGTAAAAACTCCTAAAGAATTGGGTTCAGAATTTTCTGGTCATAGCACATGCATCAGTTTCTCTTGCTCAATGGCTGAAGTAGACTTCATTGAACTAGCTCAAGGTTTGTATTCTAAAAGGACTTCTTTGGGAGAGATTCATGAATTTAAGGGTATGAAAAGGAAGCTTTAATTTTGGTAAATGTTAGGGAAACCAATATAAATCCCCAAGTATTTGCAAAAAGTTCTTACAACTTTATAGATGTTGGAGGATATTCTAAAGGATGCAGAAAGAATGTTGGGATAATTTGTAACAATCTTCAGTTAAGACTGAAGAACATTGAAATTCTATGCAAATGTAGAGGACAAATGTTAAATGAGTTGATATATTAATATAATTAATGACATATAAAGAAAGAAATTCATTAAGTTTTTATTGCTAAATAATTCAGAACTACAAATGATGTTGGGAATGTAGTCTCACTTAAATGCCCTCATTGAATCATATATAGCCACCATTTATTAAGTCTATTTTCTTTAGGTTGTTTTATTTTAACTGCTTCATACATATATTTATGGTAACTAATACAAGTAACCTTATCATGTGTAGTATCTTTGCTTGCATTTTTCAATTTACATTTCAAAATTAAGCTTTGAGTAAACCTGCCCATTTATTTATCTAATTTGGTGATCATAAAACAGTAAAGCAGTAAAATTAGCAAAGAAATTTACTTGCAGCCATGTCTCAAAATTGAATGCACTTTATGTTGTGGTGGACAATGAAAGACTGAACTTTGCTTTTTTTTACATTGGAAGACAGCAAATATAGGTGGAAATATGAATGAGTTTACAAGTTTATTATTTCATTAAACATTTATCAGAAGTTATTCTGTTTTTGCTTCACTAGGTATTCACAGCAGAGATACATTGCATTTTTACTTTGTTTTATTTGTGCTTTATTGATGTTCACAAGCAACAATTTTTCTTAATTAGTAAATAATTTATTTGTTGTAATAAAACTTAAATATAATTTTTCAAAAGAAAAATAGAGTCTTTTCCAGAAGGATCTAAATTCATCCATCACACTATAAGATACAATTTGTATCTTCCAATTATAATGGGAAGGTGTTAATTTCTGTCTTCTAGCTTTCCCATTCAGCTAGGTGTATTTCCATTGTTTTGTGCCTTGTTGAAAAGATTGCTGCCATTATTATTACTATTAGTAACAGTAATAATTGTCTATCGGCTGCAAATATCCTGCTGTTCAAGATTCTTATTTGTGTCTATATTAATGAAAAGCGAACATCAAGAAACCAATCCACAAAGCTGTTATTTAAGCTGTTTCAGAAAATCTTCATAATTATCATCTGACTCACTATTTAGGTGTCTATCACATATTACACAGTTTGTGAAAAGTGGATTAAAAGTTTATTACTAGATACTACAATAAAACTAATAATTCAAAACTTGAATAATCTCTACAAAATGCAAATAAAACTATTAATTTTTCCATAATGAAATGCTGACTTTTTACAAGTTTTTCTATCTGTAAAATATTTCATGGTCTCAATATTTATGTTCAACTTATCTTTTAGGGAAATCAAGAAAGAAGCCTGAGCCAGTGGATACCATATTTGTTAAACAAGTTAGAGAAGGAGGACCTGCTTTTGAAGCTGGACTATCCACAGGTGTCTTTCACATCTCTGTATATAGTAAATCATATCTCTGAATTTGGCTGGTGTATAATTTTATAGATAACAATAGGCAAATTTAAACTTTATGCCAAAGTTCATTGTTTGGCAAATGAGTACGGATAACTCTGACATTTTATATACATGAATACATTTTATATGTTTTACATGTGCATGTAACATCACTAACAATTTAATGCTTATTTGACTATGATGGAAATTTCTTCACTTCCATTAGCTCATTAAATTGACATTTACTGGAATGTCATGAATAGAATTATTTTATCAATGTTTGAATAATAAAAGAACACTTGGATAAGAGTGATATCTAGCTAATTCTTCTTAGGCAGTTTTAATAATTTATGGCTAGTTGGATTTTTTTATGGATTTTTAAAAGAGTTAATGAGTTTTGAAAGCCATAACCACTTCATATATTGCTAGAAAAAGGCAAGACAGTATTTCCATATTGTGAGATCCATGTTGTGTATATGCCATGAGATCTGGAATAATAAATGAGTTCCACACTTGTAGATTTCATCCATGATAACATCCCTGGTATTTTTAGAATAATCCTAGTTATGCTATCAAAGTTTCTCAGTCATCCATGTGCAATTTTCTGGAAAGTGAGTCATGTGACTCATCTCCTAATTTAAAGTGTTATAGTAGATGTAAAGAAGAAAATTAGAATTGTTTTTAATTCCCCCTTTTTTATTAAAACATTTATGTCAACTTTAAATCAAGAAGAGAATGACTTTGTTTCCTTTTTTATCTGTAGGTGACAGAATTATAAAAGTGAACAGAGAAAGTGTCATAGGAAAGACATTTTCTCAAGTAATATCTTTAATTCAGAACAGGTAAATCATTTATTTTTAAATATAATTTGAATTTTCATATAAAATATTTGTTATTTTCATATAAAATATATCTTCAAAAAGTATTGATTGATTTATGAAATATGTTTTATTCTGTGATGATAAGATATGATGAACTATAATTAAACCTCAGAGTCAAATGGTTAACAAATGAAGGTGAATGGTTAAAAACATCTAGTTTTTCCTCTTGCAGTTTAAGCATTTCAGTCTGGCTTTTCTTGTTGATAACATTTACAGGAATGAAAATAATTCTGAAGTGAATTTTACTGCATCTTACACCAGACTTTATAGGTGTTATTTTTCCATAATATCATTTAATCCAGACATTCACTAGCCAAGTCCAATTTTCTTATGTTTGGTTTGTTAGTGGACAATCACACTAGTTGGGTCAAAAGTCATTCTTCAGGAATATAGGTAGTCCTTGCTTATCAACCACAATTGGGACCAGGAATTCTGTCACTAAGCAACATAATTGTAAAGTGCAATGTCACCTGATCATGCCAACTTACAATAGCAATTGTGGCAGTTCTAATTGCCATCCCTAGATGAATCCTGTACAGGCACAGTATCCTGCAGTCACATGATTTGTGACCCCCTGCTAACTTCCCCATTGACTTTGCTTGATGGAGACCAGCAGTGAAGATGATGATCATGTTACTCTGAAATGCTGTGTCTGTCATAATTATGAACCAATTATCAAGTGCTCAAATTGCAGCCATGTGGCTACAGGAACACTATGATGGCTGCAGTTACTGTATAAGGATGTGTAAGTCCTCCTCATTAAGTGCCATCATAACTTTGAATAGCTGCTGAACATGTTCATTCAGAAAATGCCTGGTAACCCATCAGTGGACTCTTCTCCCTGGAAATACTGGCAGGCTTCATTATTAATTCCTTTCTGAACGGCCAGGCAAACTGTTTGGGAGATTGAATTCGGCCTGTTCTTTCCACCTCTATTTCTTGCAGGTCTGTGTAAACAAAAAAGAGCAGTTGATGGGATTTGGTGTCCCCCAAACATGGTTAGATAGCTGGAATTAATTTAATCCTTTGTAAGCGTGGTACTATTTTGTGCTAAATATTAGCCCCTGGGATTTATTTATTAGGTAAGTTGATTCTTTTTTTTTTTTTTTAGCCCAATGACATGATTTCCTTTCCTGTTGGCCTAATTAACCACGATGTGGTAACAGGGCCGGAGCCATTAACTTCCAGATGTTGTTGATCCTCATTCCAATCAGCTCTATTAGAATTGCCAAAAATCTAGGTAAAGCAGTCTGACAGTACTCAGAAAGCCACAAGCTCCTACTTCTTTTTTAGCACATCTTGTATTCCAAAATTCAAATCTTATGGTAATGGAAAAATCAACATTCAGTGAAAACCATTTTTTTTAATATTAAAAGTCTATATACAAGTATTTCAAATCGTTAATATTTCAATTAATTGAATACTTCAATTAAGTATTCTTTTATAAGCTCCCAAATACATTTTGTAGTTTTATAGTGCAAAAATACATATACTGTTTACTTTTGGAATAATATAAAGATTTTTAAAAAATATGTAAGTACATCTTGAATTTCTTATGTAATTTTGAGAATTTCATAAAATAATCAAACATGAATTAAAAGAAAATACAGTTATCAGGATTTAGATGTTTATTTGTAACTCCTTGAGGTGTGTTTTATTTTTTATTAAAGCAAGTATGATTCTGTTCCTCTAAGATGTCATTGTATTTTTCTTCAACCTCTTTTTACATCAATCAATTTAATGCAGCAGGTGTGAAACTAAAATTATATGTTTAATCACTATTTTGCATAGGATTCTTTAAAAAAATAAACTAAATTTCTTTATGCTTGATCTGTCTTCCATTTGGTAGTTCACATTTTAATGTGAACATTTTTAAAGCATTCATAAATTATTAGTAGCATTAAGACAACAAATTATAACATTTCTATAAAGATTTGGCAACATAAAACTATTAAAAATGCTAATGCAGTGAAATTTATTTGCACAAGTTTATCGCTAGAAAATTTTCTGCAAAAAGAACATTTAGGAAATTTTATTTTAATGGCTTTCTTTAAAAATGATATTGGAAAGTTAAATTTTAGGCTGTATTGATACTAAGAAAGTGGCATCAATCAAATCAGTAACCAATGTATATATCCTGTTTTGTAATTTATGTTGGGCAGTTCATCATGATAGCCTAATCTGCAAAACTGCCAATTTTAGCTGAAATCCTAGTTCTTTTTTACATTATATTCTTATGTTCCTTATGTTTGATCTATATATGTGTGGAATAATACTGCTTCTGGAGTTGATCAAATCCTTTGAAAGAGGGGCTTTGCAATGGGACAATACAAGCAAAGAAACTCTCTTTGAATCATTAAAAGAGTTGTATTTTCTTCCAGGATCACAAGGCTATTTTGTATGCACCTTTTTCTACATTTATATATAGGTGCAGCTACTTAGCTTCTGTTAAAAGGGATTAAAAAAAGGAATACTGATTCACATTTCCTTGGAAATTGTATTACTCCACATGGAGTTAGTAGAAGAAACAAACGCACGTTTTGCCTTTACCTAATGCCTTCATACAGGTAGTCCTTGACTTACAGCCATTTAGTGACCATTCAAAATGGCAACAGCACTGAAAAAAGTGACTTATGACTGTTTTCACACAACTGTTGCAGCATCCTCATGATCATGTGACCTAAATTTGGATGCTTGGCAACTGGTTCATATTTATGACGGTTGCAGTATCCCAGGGTCATTTGATCATTTTTTGTGACTTTCTAACAAATGAAATTAATGAGATAGCCAGATTCATTTAACAACAGTTTGACTAATTTAACAACTGTGGTGATTCACTTAACAACTGTGATGAGAAAAAAAGATCATAAAATGGGGCAGAACTCACTTAGCAACAGAAATGTTGGGTTCAATTGTTGTAAGTCAAGCACTACTTGTGTGGAAACTGCACAGTATGAACAGGGGATATCTTAAATTCATGGTGGTGAACCTATGGCACGCGTGCCACAGGTGTTACGCAGAGCCCTTTCTGTGGGTACGTGCGCTATCACCCCAGTCCTAGGCCTTCAGCTAGGTTTATAAAACCTTTTCGCGAAAAATAATGTTAGACAAATTATTAATTTATTAGAATATTTAGATAAAAACAACCAAGTCTCTGCAGGGCTGATATTTTTGGATGCTGAAAAAGCCTTTGACCAATTGAACTGGCAGTTTATGTTATCTTTAATCAAGGAGATGAATTTTGGACAAAATATATTACAAGCTTTATCTAACATATATCAAAAACAGACTGCTCAACTTATTGTTAATGGGGGTTTGTCAGAGGTTTTCACAATAGAAAAAGGTACAAGACAGGGATGTCCATTTTTTCCGTTATTGTTTGTTTTAACATTGGAAATTTTGTTGATTAAAATTCGGGAGTCTCAAGAAATAAAAGGAATAGAGATTAATAAAAAAGAATATAAGTTAAGAGCTTTTGCAGACGACTTGGTTGTTACTTTGTCTCAACCTACTTATTCGGTAGTAAAATTACTACAATTGATTCATCAATATGGGCGTGTTTCGGGTTTTAAAATTAATAATAATAAGACTAAAATATTACCCAAAAATATGACTAATTGTGATAAACAGACCTTGGTTAACTTAACAGACTTTGAAGTTGTTGATAAGGTAAAATATTTGGGGGTCATATTATCTGCTTCTAATGTAAAATTGTATAAAAACAATTATGAAAAGTTGTGGATTGGGGTGCAGAAGGATTTAAAGAATTGGGATAACTTACAGTTATCTTTTATGGGTAGAATTGCAGTTATTAAAATGAATGTCCTACCAAAATTTCTTTTTTTTGTTTCAAATGTTACCTATCTTAAAGAATGAACTTAATTTAAATGAATGGCAGAAAGGAAAAAACCAAGGGTAAAACTTAAAATTATGCAAGATTTTCGTGAGAGAGGTGGACTCAAGGTACCGAATTTGAAACTATATTATGATGCTGTGGTCCTAACATTGATTAGCGATTGGACGAATTTAACAAATGTAGAAATACTCCATTTGGGGGGTTGGGATTTACTTTTTGGATGGCATGCCTATTTAATTTTTAATAAAAAAGTGGATCGGGTTTTTAAATCTCATATTATAAGGATTTCTTTGCTTAGGGTGTGGAGGAAATATTATAAAAGCGATTTTAAAATACCATTATGGGCTATACCTTGGCATGCGATAGAGGGGATAAAGAGAGGAGTTAAGATGGATACGGTTTCCTATACACAACTACTTAGATGGGATGGTCAAAATTGGCAGTTAAAATCTTTGGAAGACTTAGTACATGCAAACATTACTTACTCATGGTTTCAATATAGACAAATAGTGGATAGATGGAAGACGGATCGTAATATGGCTTGGCTTAGAGAAGATGAAAATCTTTTTAAACAAGTAAGGGATCAAAGACCAACTCATATTAAGCGGGTTTATGGGGTTTTAGTTGAAATGGATTCAGAATCTGAATTAATCAAAGATTGTATGATTAAATGGGCACAAAATATTGGTGAACCAATCCCATTGGATACCTGGGAACTTATCTGGGTGAGGAATGTTAAATTTACACAAGCGCAGAATTTAAGAGAGAATTTTTACAAAATGTTTTATAGATGGCACCTTGATCCACAAAAAATTATCTATTATGTACCCTGATCTACAGCCTAAATGTTGGAGATGTGGTTGTTTGGACGCTACTTATTACCATATTTGGTGGTCGTGTAAAAATATAAAAGCTTTTTGGATTAAGATATGGTGGAATATTCAAAGAATCTTTAGAAGGAGGGTTAAATTTATCCCACAATTATTTTTATTAGGTATTGTTACTGATTGTGATGCTAAGGAAGTTATATTGATGTTAAATTTGATTACAGCCGCAAGGCTGTTAGTAGGACAATATTGGAAGAAGGAATCTTTGCCTACTTTACAAGAGTGGTTTTATAAAGTTTCTTACTTGGCGGAAATGGCAAAGATTTCGGCTTTCTTAAAGGAGCAATCTCAAGAGAAATTTTTTGTTATATGGGAAAAATGGATAAATTTTATACAATATAATTTGGATATGGAAAAATATCATTTAGCTTTTTTATAGTTTGTATAGATTGTTTTCTCTTTTCTTTTCCCGTCTTTTGTTTTCTTTCTTTTTTTTTCTTTTATTTCTTTATCTTTCTTTCTTTTTCTTTTTCTTTCTCTCTCTCTTTCCTCTCTTTTTTATTTCTTTTTTAAGTACTTCTTTTTTTAATGTTTATGTTATGTATATCTTATTATTAATTATTTTATAAGTTGTAAAAGGTTTTTTAAAATTTTAAATAAGCCTATATTCAGTTCTGGGAAGTTTGGGGAGGGGGGAGGGGGGTAGGTTTGGGAGGGATTGGGTGAGGGTTGATTTGTAAAACTTTTAAAAAATTTTCAATAAAAAAAAAAACCTTTTCGCTTTAGGCCTCCACCGCCGTGTGCAAAAAAAAAGGTTCAATCGATCAATCAATTTCAACTGCTCGTGGGAAAAAAAAGATCTCGCAAAGTTGGAATTGATTGATTGAACTTTTTAGTCCCACCCACTCTGCCGTTACCACTGCAGTCACACCCACCCAATGGGCCACACCCACCCAGCACCGACAATACATAAGTGGGTTTTGGGTTGCAGTTTGGGCACTTGGTCTCTAAAAGGTTCGCCATCACTGTCCTAAATGATTTGTTTTATTTTATTTTAATTTATTTAATTTATTTTTCTAAGTGGCAGAAATACATTGATTTCATCATTTATTTTTGTATAATAAATTATCTGCATGTAGGTAACTTTGAAGATGAATGCAAGTGTTAGTACTTTAAAAAGTACCAGTGACTCAGAGCAAATAGTGTTAAGAGAAATAAATATTTATATTCTGTGCTGGATTTTTGTTATATTCTCTGCTGGATTTTTGAAAAAGAGTAACTATTAAAGTTATTAATATTCTTATTTTTATAGTTAGAAATAAAATTCATTCTCACATTGTAAGTATATTAATTTATTTCCCTGATAATAAAGTTGTGTATTTATTTTTCCTCACAGTGATGATGATTTGGAACTTAGTGTTATGCCAAAAGATGAGGACATTCTTCAACTTGTAAGTTATACTTCTGATCTGAAATCTAAAAATCAAAGTCTCCATAATATTCCTGCAAAAGGGATTCAAGTTAATTAGCATATTAAAAGTAATGAAACTTTGAATAATACTATTTCTGTATTTATAAATTATCACCCACTTATTTATTTTCTCAGTTTTAATGCTATAAAAATAGGTAAAAATGAACTGCAGAAAAAAATATTTTTTGTGTTTGTTATAGTTCATTTTAGTGAAATGAATATAAATTATGTTGTCTTCTTATGGAACAGATGCAGTCTACTCTTCTGAAATGTATCTTGGAGGTGGATAAGTCTATACCAACTCCAGTAGTAAACACAGATTTGGGTAAAATCCCTATACAAATCCATCTAATAATAATTCAACTAGCGACTGAAGATCTTTTCTATGGATCCAGATAGAATACCCAAACCGTATTTCAAGGATCAGTTGCATGGCATGCTACTTGAGATTGAGTGATTCTGCTTTCAGATGTATCATCTCACTATATGGATTCTCCATCCAATTCCCAGTCCATTTAGATCTAGAGGCCAGGAAATTTTTCAAACAAAGTCGCTACTGTGACTTCCCAAGATTATATTGCAGTACTTAAATATTTTAAGTCTTTGTAGTGATTGGCTCAACACAAATCAGTCTCCCAATTGGAAAAACATTTAAAATTTATTTGCCTCAATGCAGAGGTGGGATTCAGCCAGTTCACACCAGTTCAGCAGAACCGGTAGTTAATTTTTTGTTGCCCAGGCCCAGAATGGACTTCCAGAAGCAGCATCTATACATATTTGTATAGTTATTCACATATTTGAATCCCACCACTGCCTCAGTGTCTTAAAAGAACTCTTTCTAGAGCTTGTTTCAAACCATGAGACTCCCTGATAAGGTATGGGAGTTCCATTTGAAGAAAAACTGTGTATTTGTGGAGCACCAGGCATTGAAGACAGTTTGACTTTTTTTTTTTTAAGTAAATTATACTTTGCAGAAAGAGCTGCTTATTTAGATTTCATTTAAAAACTAAAAAATACAGGAGTATTCAGGAGAAACTGCCTTACCTTTTGCAGCACACGAACCTGCATATCACTAGCAAAAAAACATATTCTTTATATCAAGAGCCATTTCAAAGAGGACAGAATGTTTAAATCATTTTGGGATTAACTACTGGGACTCTGACTAATTGTGAACAAGTCCTATTGTTTCCTGTCTGTCTATTTGTTTATTAATATTAGTATTCTACTTCGTTATGGTCAAATGACTAAATCAATAAAGTTTCTATACTATTTTATAAATGTTATTAGCTTGAAAAGGATACTGAAAAATGTATATAGGTAGTCCTCGACTTATGACCACAACTGAGCCCAAAATTTCTATTACTGAGCAAGATAGTTGTTAAGTGAGTTTTGTCTCATTTTACACCCTTTTTTGCCATAGTTGTTAAGTGAACCACTGCATTTTTTAAGTTACTAATAATGGTTGTTAAATGAATCTGGCTTTCCCATTGACTTTGCTTGGCAGAAAGTTGCAGAAGGGGATCACATGACCCCAGGACACTGCAAGCATCATAAATACATGTCAGTTGCTAAGCATCCAAATTTTGATCAGGTGACCATGGGGATGCTGCAACAGTCGTAAGTCACTTTTTCAGTGCTGTTGTAACTTCAAACGGTCACTAAACAAATGGCTGTAAATCGAGGAATACGTCTATAAGGTGAAAATAATCTGATAATCTTCAGAAAAATATAGAAACTTATTGAAGAAATTATTTTCCTCTTGATCTAAGTAAAACATGTTTGCCATTCTCTTTAATATGCAAAAAGTTTCAGATAGATTCTTTCACTTTTTGGACAGATAACTACTGACAGAATTTGAACATAAAATTTTACCTAAACTTAATGTAAACTGGAATTATGAATATACTTCTAATAGTAAAACCACTTCTATTTGCTTGGCTTCCATTCATCAGAATGATTTTAGGAATTTCCTTTGCTTCCTCTGCTTTTGGTTTTGTCCCATGACCCAGCAATGGAAAAAGAAAGGTGATGGTAGTCTTTAGATGTTGGTCTATTAGCTCTATGTTTGCTTTTGCCAGTAAACAAACAACCTACCAATCTAGTTATCTACAGCAGTGTATAAAACATAATATAATATCAGATTTTAACTATTGTTATAGTTAACACCTAGAAGTCCTCTGGCATAACATGGTTTTAACTAGCTTTGGGGCTGAAGCAGGGGTCTTTGTTCAAGCAGCATGCAGGCTGATTTATTTGAGGTAAAATTGATCCATGGGCCTCCATAAGAAAGGCCTAGAACTTGGGTGTCAAACTCAATCACGTCACATGATGTATCGTGACGTATTGCAATGTGTTTTGCCTTTGCGGAACCGTGGTAGGTGTGGCTTACGCGTGACACATCTGGCCTCCGGGCCATTAGTTTGACACCCCTGGCCTAGAAGAGGAGACTCTGCTCTCATGAACCAAACATCCTGTTTGAGGAGAGTACATAGGAAACTGTTATGCCATCTGTTATTCTAAGTTTTGCAACAAGTATAAAGATTAAGGTGTTATCATGACCCAGACACTGAAAGCCTGAATTATAAAAATCCTTCCTCATTATCAAACATTGGAGCCAAATTGAAAATGATTTTTTGTCTTCCTCAATACAATATATGAAAGTTGCCAATTCAACAAAACCATCTTGCTTGTTAGAATACTTAGGATGAGCCAGAGAGCTTCAGGTCTGGTAAGTCTACAGAAAGGTTTTTAATGAGTACTTTCGGTGTACCCCTTAATTTGTTCTTCTTGCTCATGTCAACAATTCATCAGACAGTGATGAAGTCTTTTTATAATGTAGGCTTTCAGAGTCAGGGTCATGCTAACATCCTGAGTCGTTAGTGTTTACAAAAATAATTCAAAGTAAAATAAAATTAGGGTGGTGGAATTATCCTTAAGTAATTTTGTACATAGAAGCCCAAAGCTTTTACTATCTTTTCTTCTCCCTCAGGCTCAAAATAGGGTATGTTATAATATTCATTTTTTTTGCTTTCTGATGGATTACTTCTAATCAGAAAACTTTGCAGAACTATGTATTTTTAACTTTTTTTTCAATAAATTTTTATTTTATTCACAATGTTAAAATACAAGCCCGAAGAAGGGGGAGAAAAAGAACAGAGCTAAACAAGATATAGACATAGACATAGATAGATATAGAGATATAGCTGTAGATACATGCATAGAAAAAGAAAAAGCTCAACTTATACATAGTCTATTCGAATACTGATAAATATATTTCAAGAATAGTAATTTTTCCCGTGCAAAACAGGCCTACAGTTTATGATTTTCTACAGTTCGATTTTACTCAACCAATTTGACCTGTCATCTATCTAAACTTTGCAAGCCTATGTGCTTTAACTTTCAAAAAAGGCAAAAATGGTCCTTTTTTATGCATTAAGGTAATCTATGTATGTTTGTCCAGGCATGAACATTCCCAGTTAAATTTTTCAAAAAATATATTTCGTTACATTCAGAAACCCAGGATGTGGTTTAAAATGATTACTTCTATCATTTAAAGTGCCGATTTTAAATTCGCTCAAAACAAAATCTTATTAAAGTTGCAAAAAGTATTTAAAATATTTTGCTTCAAAATATGGGCTTCAAAATATAGTGATTGATGATTGATTGATTTAACAAATGTATGTATTCACCCAACTCATACATAGTGACTCCAGGTGGCATATAACATTAACAATCCACAACTTAATCCTACACCCACTATATTTTCAATATATTAAAGTCTTAGGATTAACAGACATCAACAATCATTACAAGTAGTTCTTGAGGTATGACAATTGAGCCCAAAATTTTGGTTGCTAAGGGAGACAGTTGTTAAGTGAATTTTGAACTAGTTTACATCCGTTCTTGCCATAGTTGTTAAGGGAATCTGGCTTTCCCATTGACTTTGCTTGTCAGAAGATCACAAAAGGTGATCACTTGATCCCAGGACACTGCAATCATCAAAATATAAGTCAGTTGCTAAGCGTTTGAATTTTGATCACGTGACCATGGGGATGCTGCAATAGTCATAAATGTGAAAAACCATCATAGGTCACTTTTTTCAGTGCTGTTATAACTTCAAAAGGTCACTAAATGAACTGTTGTAAGTCGAGAACTACCTGTATCTTTAGGATTGGTAAGCAGTCTGACTTGATGAAATTTGATAACATATCCAATAGAGTTTGTGGTTTCATGACATCTTTCTTTTATGATTGGTTGCACAGTCAGTTGTTTAGACTGGATTCGGCATTTTTGCCCACTTATTGAGTCTTCTCCATGGATCTGGAATAGACAAATATTTTCATTTAATAATATTAAATATATTATTGCAAGATATAAACTGTTCCAAGTAAAACTGATTTTTGTAATTGACTGATGACTATTTTGTCAATGCAGATTGTGTTCAAGTGGTGCTCCAGATGTTTTGGAATTGCACCCAAGATATCTTTTACTACTGGTAATAGCTTTGTTGTTGTTGTTATTGTTATTTTGTTTTCTGTTGTTGTTGGTTTTTTTTTTTTTTGCCAAGCCATTCTGTTTCTATTTGCAGGTCTTTGTATTTTGTGATTTTCTCCAGTTCTTTCTCTTCCGTTTTGCTGTCTCCAGGTACTGCCACATCCACTATCCAGACTTTTTTGTCTTTCTAATCAACAAATGTTTCTGTGTGTGCATAATCTACAGTTAGATTAACAATCTAAGACTGGTGACAGTAATTCAAGCTTCTTTATTTTCTATTACTTTATGTGCTATATCGTCTCACCAAATCTTGCTTGCAACAAACAATATTTTTAGTAGCTATTCCAGGGGTCCCCAACCCCCGGTCCATGGACCAGTACCGGTCTGTGGCATGCCAGCAATTGGTCCGCACAAACAAGCAAAGTCCTATCTGCGGGATGCAGGCAGCACACAAAACCATGCCCCCTCCAGTCCACAGAAAAACCACCACGGAACTGGTCCCTGGTGTCCAAAAGGTTGGGGACCTCTGAGCTATTCCAATGCACCATTGTTGTTACTTTGTTATGTTGATACTTTGTAATCAGCCTATGTAATCTTGCAGCAGCTAATGATGTGATCCACTGTTTCTTCAGTTTCTTTGCAGAGAGGGACTTTTCTGTCAGTTGCTGCCATCTTAATTCTGGCTTTATAAGCACTTTTTCTTAAGGCTTGGTCTTATTCTGTGAGAATTAGCTGTCTCTTTTTTTAACTTCCCTGCTTTTAGCTATTGGCAGATCTGATTGTTATTTATTTTGCTTGTTGGTTTTTTAAGAACAGGCCATGTAATACTTTGAACTATCATGTCTCTTTTCTGGCTTTATTTGGTTTTTGATATTCAGTAAGCCTTCATGGTGTCCTAGCTTCAGTGAATCTTTTTCACTATCCTTCAGATAATCTTCCAATGGCCTTTTTCCTTTAACTGTTTGGTATACTTGCAACATTTCACCCTAACCTATGTTCTGTGGAATATCAACGTTGCAATGTGGATGAAGGGAATGATTTGTTATTTCTGGTCTTCCTATTCAAGGCTTCCAGTTGGTAGCTTGAATCTAGTCCACTATTTCAGTTGAATATCTAATGACTTGAATGCCCAGGTGTTAACCACCTATTTTGAACTTTAAGAGCTTTTTCATTTTTCTGATATATTCATTACAGGTAGTCCTCAACTTACAACAGTTTATTTAAGGACTGTTTGACATTATAATAGCGCTGAAAAAAGTAGATTATGACCATTTTTCACACTTACAACCATTGCAGCATCCCCTTGGTCAAGTGATCAAAATTCAGATGCTTGGTAACTGACACTGGTACTGTCGGTAACTGACACTGGTACTGTCAGTAACTGACACTTGTACTGTCCTGGGATCATGTGATCACCTTTTGCGACCGTCAGACAAGCAAAGTTAATGGGGAAGCCAAATTCATGTTACACATTTAACAACTGTAGTGTTTCACTTAACATCTGTGGCAAGTGGAGGATTACCTGTATTAACCTTCTTCTTGTCTTCAGTGTGTTTGGTGTTGACAGCCTGAAGGATATATGTGGTGATCTTCTTCATCAGTACTTTTTTTTTTAAGTTTTTATTTTCCATTTTTCATTACAGTCATACAAAATACTTCAGATAAAGAGTAAAATAAATTTATACAAACAACTTTCGGTATTGCTCACTCATTTCCCCCCAAACCGCATCCTCCCTCTGATTTCCTCCCTTACTTCCCTCTTCCTCCCTCTTCTTCCTCACCATTCTCCTCCTCTCCTCTTTCTCCTCCATCACTTTTGATGTTATTTTCACAGGGCATCTTAATTCTGTTACTTTTCACTAATTTTTCCCTGTTGATGGTAAGGATAGCACATTTGTCCAATCCAAGCTCCATTGGCTCCTTGGCTGTATATTCAGACAGTTTGAGCATTATTGTTACCGTATTTAGAATTTTTTATCACACCTTTATTATTGTTATAAATAGCTAAAGGCAGCAAACATATCTCATACTCATTCCTCCTCCTATTTTTCCCCACAACTCTGTGACTCAGATTTCAAGTCATCCAGCTCACTTTCATTTCTAAGGCAGGATTAGAACTCACAGTCGTCTGGCTTCTTCTCTCTTGGTGCCTTAACCATTGGAGATTTACATAAAAATAAAAGCTAAACATGAAATTATGTGAAGTAAAAGTAAAAAGGAGAAAAGATACAAAACAGGTTTGAATGTGCAAGAAAAAGGAAAGATATATACATAAGTGACTTCTCTGCAACAGTTACTAACAAATATTTTCCATATTCAACCCTTTTTAATCAGCAAATCTATAAATACCAGTTATTTTTCAATTTTAGTGAAAAATCCGCAAAAGGTTTCCAGTTTTGTTGTCTTACCTCTATCAATTTTGTCATTTCTGCAAATTCTATCATCTAAACATAAATATAAAGGCTGTATCTATACAAGGAGTTCTTACATATTTGATATCAACATTTACTTTGATTTATATATTTTTCTGTATATAATATTTTCTTTTGAAATTATAATGAATGATCAATAATAATAATAATAATCTAAATTTCTTATGGCTGCCTGCTCCAAAAGGTCCTGATTTCCAAAAGATTTAGTTCCAGATGAATGTGTCATCTTCTTATATATTTTAAACATTTTGTGCTGTTTAATATTTCCCCTTTTTTGCTAATAGGAAATGAACCAGGAAATGGCTTGCAAGTGATGATTATAATCAGCCTTACAGCTTTTTAAAAGCTTTTTTTCATTGCCTGCTTTTCAGAATTTTGCCAAGGTGCAGGTTTAAGAGTAAATGTTTGCACCTACATTAGACTAGTGAGGCACTGAAAGCATATTTCAGAGTGTCACTCAATAATATATGTTTCCTTAGAATGCACCATTGCTTAATTTTCCAGATGCATTTTTCTAGTGTATCTGCTTTCCTGTTTTCTTCTCCTAATCTGAGAAACATACAAATGCAGAGTGTATATTTTCTGGTATAACTAATACATGCAAATATACCTTACGATTGAAACACAGCTAGTTCCTAATTTGGTAGGAACAGCAAAGATATACAAAATGAAAATGATCACATGGTGAGAGTGTTTTTTTAATGAGAAAATTATTCTGAAATCATCTTTCTAATGTCAGATGTAGAGTCAGCTGACGGCTTCTGGCTCTGTTCAGATTTATGAGAGGAAGGGGTGCACAGATATAAAATGCATAATAAAGCCCTTGTTTCGTCATCTGGAAGCAGGGATGGTAGCAGCTCAGACGAGATGAAAGACTGTTATGTTGCTGTAGCAAAAGGGATGCCTTGTGGCGCAAGCAGAGGGCTCCGTTTGCAGCATGAAAGATGCACTGAAGCAACGCAGCACAAACGTGTTTTTTTTTTTTTCTTTCTGGAAAGCTAGGGAATAAATGCAGGAAGCAGGTATAAAAAAACTGAGACTGGCATGCTCACAAGAAGGCTGAAGTTATTGTGTGTGCTCCAGTAACCTTAGCCGTCTTGGTATCTTCGAGAGAAATCGGTATAGCTGTATTTTTAGCTTGCAGTGTATTCGGCATCAATATGACAACATAATTCTATCTTTACATATATAGGCAGCTTTTACTATCTTTTCCTGTTTTGTGCCAGCTGCAGTTTTCAAAGGATATCAGAGCACTGGTAAGAGTGTACTGTAGCCATTTCTCTGATTTTTGTAAGGCATGTGTTTCTTCGTAAATTTGCAAGAAGCTGGATCTTTAAAGCCTGCAAGTTGCTAAAAGCAAGCTAGATCTGCTGGTTAGCTGAATCTCAATTGTAATAGCCATCCTGTTATCACTTTAATGTGTGCCTGTGTTAAAATTTTGATTTTATTTTTTTTTAGAAAAAGCTTATAATACTTTGTTTGCATTTAATTATTGCTCGCAGTAAAATTTATCAAGCTATGTGTTTTAAACGGCTCACCTTTTCATCCTTAGCACTTGCTCTTGATCTAATGTTTATGATTGCATTTAGGCTTGTACAGCCTGTCTAATGCTAAGGCAGGGCATGTTGATTTCTCTGAATGAAGCATGTTATGGTTTGAGCAGGAAATGCTGTAATACAGTACCACACATAAGCTATGTTTGTTCATTTTAAAAGTATCAGGAAAGGATTTCTGCATTGTCAATTCTTAATTTTTTTATTACTATTTCAGAGAGTCATTGCAGAGTATAAAATAATACTGTTTGCAATTTCTGGGCAGAGAATATGCTATTGTTGATAGTTTTACAAATAATGTAATATAAAAGAAATAATGCAAAATTTAAAATGAATATTTCTTTAAGAATCACATTTTTAAAACGCAAGATGAAAATTATGTAGTATATAAGGAAATCTTGCCTTAAGACAGATTGTGTTTCACACTAAGAAGTGCTTGAAAATACTTACCAATAATGTACATTCATGACATCTTTGAGTTAAAAAAATGGCATTACTGTGAAGAATATGGAATTTATATAAATAACATGTAAGTTTATTTAGAGGGAGGATGGGCGTTGGCTGGCAACAAAGACATTGCCACTGTCTAGTCATGTTAGATATAGGAATTGTGCCTTTTAGAAAAGCCAGTAGATCAAATGCAGAGGCTTCTTGCTGTTTCTATGTGGCAACAAACTAACAAATTTAACTTGTCGATATTTATAGAAGCCTAGCCTGTAGATATAAAAAATATCAAGGGGGAAAACAAAATTTAAAAATGTCATGGTGGAAAAATACTTTATATTTACAATCTCTCTTTTTCTTAATCACTTGTAGCACTTGCTACAATTTGATATATATACACATCAGATACACACATAAATACATGCAGAGAGAGAAAGAGGGAGGGAGGGAGGGAGGGGGGAGAGAGAGGGAAGGATTGAGAGAGAGGGGGGGACAGAGAGAGAACATGCTTCTTTTTGGAGACTTTTCATGCGTATTTTTATCCATGGAAAACAATAATAGAAAAATATTGACATTTCATGTTCCCTAAATAGACCCCTTAGTAGAGAGCACCTATTGCACTCTTTTTAAATAGGAAGTCCATTTCTGTCAAGGAATTTAACTTTACCGTACTCATGCCCCTGAAATAAGATTATGGTTTTCCACTAAATACTTAACAGTGATTTAATTTTCTGTGCACAGGCATATTCCCAGGATGCCTACCAGAAAGGCAACGAAGCCTACACTGGTGATGCTCTTTACATACCTGAGCCTCCACCAATAAGTTATCCTCGATTAACATATCCAGCTCCTGTCCTGGCATTACCTATGGAGAAAGCACCTCCTGATTTAACACTGGGAAAGCAATCAAATAGTAGAGCTGTACAGATATCAGCACAACTTGAAAAGGCCTGCAGAAAGGAAATACAAGTGCCTCCATCTCCAAAAGATATTGCAAAATCTAACACAGCTGTCTGTGTTTGTAATGAGACCATAAGAACTGTTGTTGTGCCTTCTGAGAATGATGTAGACTTTTCATCACTTAGAACAAATCATACTAGTCCATCACAGCAGACAGGGGATATAAAATACAATATCAAGGAACAAAGTTCTGTGAAAGCAAAAGTACAAACCACTTCACCTTCCTCTTCAATGTCCACTGCCGTTGTACTTCCTCAGACTCCACTTACAAGACCAACAGATTCCCCAGAAATAGCTAATGATTCTGGAAACTATGAAGGACATCCAGAAGGAGCTTCAGGTTGTAGTTCTGCTCAGAGTCAAGATTCTCCTTCTGTTAATCATACCAGTTCTCCAAGCGCCCATCGTAACATAGACTGGAAAACTTACAAAACCTATAAAGAATATATTGAAAACAAACGCTTTCCCAAATATGGTTTCAGAACCATACAAGAAAGGTTAGATAGTTTAAGAGCAGCATCTCCACATTCAATAGATTACTACATTGGCTCACAGGTACGCTGCAGAAGCACCTCTCATGATAGGACCTCACAGTCTGTATCTATTCGTCGAAGGAGTACATCCCAGGAAAGAGTTAAGGATACTGTATTAATCAAAAAGTGGCCAAGGAGTGCTTCACAAGATACTTTAACTTCACCAGTTATCAGCCCTCGAAGTCGTAGGGCACGCTCCTTCAACTATTTAGGTAAACAGGGTGAAGGAGTGGAAAGTGTTCACAGTGAGAAAATTGTTGCAGATTCAAGCAAGGCCAAAAAAATTACATATGAATGTACTGGACTTACTGATCAAAATGATCCTCAAGGCACTTATGAAACTTCATGGCGACATGCGTTTCAGGTGTCCCTTCGTGATTCAAATTTTTCTGTGGCTCCTGGTGTCTGTCCTTCAGGTGGCAGACAAATAAAAAGCCAAGTCTTGGGACCCTTTGCTCAGTTCCACAAAATTTCAACAGATGTAAAAGTGATGCAGCCTTCCAAGGATATGCCAAGCACTGGAGGTTCAAAGTCTACAACCACTTTTCAGGAGAGATCACCTCGCTCAATAACTAGAAGCACAAGAAATAGTTCTTTGAAGACCTGTGTAGGTTATGCAGCAAAGCCATCATTTCCTTCTAATCAGAGTCTGGATAATGCTATTACCACAGGCCAAAGAGAAATTAATTATGTGCACTATCATGGTTTGCCAATTCAACAATCCAGGATACATGCAGAAAGTCCATCAGATCACAAACTAAACATGGGCAAGTCTAATCTTTCCCCCAATTCCTATATAGCTTCTGCCAAATTTGTCCCACAAATGAATGAGCACTTAACTACCTCGGTTAATTTAGATGTCTCTGTCAGACAAAAGATTCAAAATTTTGAAATCGAAGCTATAAAACAGCCTGAAGTTCAAGCAACAGATTTGGCAAATGAAGAAGAAGTTATCTTGCGGGAAAAGTCGTCTTCTGGCCATCAAACCCCACAGCTTTTGCGACATCAGTCTTATATTTTAGCTGTAAATGGTCAAGAACCTGCCTCTGAGACCACTTGTTGGTTACCCAATGATGCACGCCGAGAAGTTCATATAAGAAAAATAGAAGAAAGGAAAGCCTCTTGTTCCTGTCCATCTGATGATTCCTTGGCGTCAATTCCGTTCATAGGTGAGCAAAACCATTTTTATTTCTCTGAATTTGATTCATATTTGGATTTTCCATTTAATCCTTTTGCATGAATACTATTTTATTCACTGTAGTTAGTTTTCTAAGCAGTAATTTTAAAAAGGCATTCAAACCTCCATGGTGCCTACTAGTATCTTTAAACATTCTACCAGCTTATTATTCTCAGATTTTCAATCATTTTAGTCCAAGACATAAAAAATAAGACTAAAACTGCAGTAGAGGAAGACCAGTGCAGAATGGTCCCAATATTTTCTTTTTGAGGTCTAATATGGCTAATATGTGGCATGGCTTTTTTTCCCAGTACCTTTAATTTTTTAAGATTTTTAAATTCATTATAAATCATAAAGATTTGAAACAATAATAATGTCTTTTTTCCCAATATGTGGACATCATAGCCATCTATATTTTCTTAATTAGATAGCTGATGATTTGTTCTGTTCAACATAATTTGATTAGCTTTATAAGTAAAAATATGAAGACTTCTGAAAGAGTGATATCTTAGTTATTGGTTAGTCAAAAAGAGGCCATAAAATAACACAACTTTCCAGTGGAACATATACCTAGTTTTTTTATTTCAGTTAGGATATTATGGCTTCCTCAGGTATATCTTCACATTCTGCTGCATTACAGATTGGCTAATGTGAAGCTCATTGCGGGAAGATTGCTTTGTATATTTTGAACAAATGGACAGTGTTTTGTATCAAGATCTTGCACATTAGCTGATGGGATTATAGACATGTTTTTTTGCCTGACAGTACAGTAAAACTAATTTTTATCAAACTTTTTTCTTTCAGTTGTATATAACTAGCTTTGGTTTTGAGGATTTTATATACCTCTTTTAAAAGAAATGCCATTATTCTGAGAAATTGTGCAATATAAGAGTACAATATACAGTACAGCTTGATTTGCTCCAAATAAAGCATTTCTTGGACAAGATATTGAATATGAATAAAGCTTGAAGCATAAAAACAATATGCCTCATTTCATTATCATTATTTCTAGAAGCTTACGTTGAGAAGATGTAACAAGAAAAATCTATTTTATAGATTATAAGAAATCTTTCTTTTTTACAAGTATACATTTTGGGAATCTGCTTTTTAAAAAGTTTGAGAAATAAAATCAGCATTAATAAATTTTAGCTCCGTATGAGAAAATAATATTTTAATTTACATTGTGACATCATATTTACAAGGAATCATAGAATTATTAAATCTACCTAGGGTAGAAAAGGTGAGACATTTTTGTCTGTATGTTGGTGTATGCATGTGTGAGCTAGAAAACCTTGGAGTTATAAACTCTGTCTCCTTAAATCAGAGCTAGCAAGTGCTTTGAAACCACAGTGCAATATAAGCTGATTTGTTTATACAAGAAAAAAATAAATCACTGTAACGGCTTGCATATCTCAATGGGCCTTTCAGAAGTACACCATATTAAAATTCACAGCACCTAGAATTATATATATTAATTACCACAAGACAAAATCCTCACATTTACGATTTTGGTTTCTTTATAATTCTGTCTTATATATGGAAACACAGTGAGAAACCCTATCTTTATTTCAAAGATAGGCTTTGTATTATTTTTCTGGAACTTTTTTAGATTTTGGCAATTTCTACAACTCTGACAAGCTTTCAAAACATTTAGGCTTTAGAATGTGAAGGATGCTTTGGTGGCAATAAAAACTACAAGACGCTAAATATGTACAGCCTGTGATAAATTATATCAGCAGTTACTAGAAGCTATAATTGGTATATACTGTAGCATAGCAGATGTTGATATTTCAGAGATTATGTTGTGGATTTGATTATTTTAAAAGGTTCACTGGGTAATTTTTGCTTCTTAGATTTTCTGGAAGAATAATAGCCTTTCCCTTCTTTTGTTGAAGGGGTTGTTTTTGGCGAACTTTCAAATAGTTTTATTTTACTTCTGCATTCATTTTGAAAACTTATTTATACCACCCAATAATAATAATAATAATAAAATTGGAAGGGACCTTGGAGGTCTTCTAGTCCAACCCCCCACTCAGGCAGGAAACTCTGTACCATTTCAGACAAATGGCTGTCCAATCTCTTCTTAAAAACTTCCAGTGTTGGAGCATTCACCACTTCTGGAGGCAGGTTATTCCACTGGTTAATTGTTCTAATTGTTCTAATTGATAGTGTTGATCTACTCAAACGCTTGATTATTTTGACAAACTTATTTAAAATATGGATAACCCTGTTATTAAAAGCTTTTCTAATGATACTGTATTGGTTCAGTTCAGTCTGTGTTCAATTCAATATTTGCCCAAACATTGTGTAAATGCAACTGTATTATATTTTGCCTAAAATAACATAGTTGTTAATGAACAGATTCTTAAACTTTAAAGGAAGAAGAAATAATACTTTTACCACGCATAACAAATAATTGCAAGCAGTTCTCGTATACAGTGTGTCCAAAAGTACCTTCAGAGCATCTCAACATGTATTCTGGATACTCCTGGAGGCCCTCCTAGTTTTCCCATATTGGACCAATTCTTGTCCTTTTTACTAAAATATATTAATTTGTTGTATACTTTTTGTAGATGAGCTGACCAGTCCTACTATTGACCTGGACATCACCCACATTCCAGCTTCTGCTGTTATTTCACCACCTCCTTCACGAGCAACGGCCACCACCAGTGCTGTTCCTTTGAGTTGTACTGCTCTTGTTCCTTTTATTCGACGTCAACTGTCTTATGGCCATGGTTAGTGTAGTGTTTCAAGCTATTTTAGCTAAATTCAACAAAACTTGCTTATTTTAAAAAGATGGGGGGTTTGCTTTTGCTTTGGTTACAGAATCAATTAGGACTAGTGTTCTAGATGATCAATTCCCTGCAAAAAATGAAAGGTCCAAATCTTATGATGAAGGACTTGATGACTATAAAGAAGGAAAAAGGTAAGAATACTCATAAAAATATAGATGTGCATCATTGGATGTCTTATTTAGGAAATTCTTTTAGAATGTCCACTAAAATATCTACCTTACATCTGTAGGGCCATAAAGCATGCACCGAGCTTAAAGGAAATTAAGGTCAGTTACTTTATTTTCAATATTTATCTGATGTGTAAATAACATTAGTATTGCACGACTAAGCATTAAGTTGCACCTAGGCATGTGAGAATATAGATCGCTTAAAGTATAATGGTGGGGTTTTTTTTATTAATGTCCAAGCATCCACTTGATGAATAGATGTTGCTGACTTTTGCCAATTAAAAAGATTAGATATCATTTGATGAAAAAGTATTTTTCTGGCTGCAGACAGGATGGCACTCTCTGTAGTTAACTTCAAAATTGTTACCACTTTCTTGTGTATTAAAAGGAAGCCTACTGACTGAGATGTATGACAAGCCTTTTCTGTAGTTCATTGGGGCTTCTTTGAGCTGCTGGCTGACTGGAATGTACTGTTCCACTAATGTTAGGTCCCTTTCCATGCTAGCTGTCTATATTCCCACCTGACAGATGGAAGGAAAAGAAGAGGGAGACTTTGAATTATTACAGCATGCTGAGGCTTGTTTGTTTTCTTTAGATTCCAAAAAGCCAAGCATCTTCAGAAAATGCAGGATTCAGAAAAGTATCTGCTTCAGATGTCTTTGGCAACACCTCCAAAGAAGGATATCTTCATTTTCGGCAGCTAGTTACAGACAAGGGGAAGGTACAGTTTTTTCAAACCACAGCTAACTGTAAAACCTGTCTTCTTATATATATATTCAAATGTTTTTAGATGCGAACAGGTTTTTAATTTCCTATGAAAATACTAGAATTATGTTTGTTTTTCTTTTGGCAGAAACTCAACTTTTCAAAATTTCCATTTAATTTGCATAGACCTGGTACAATTGTTGCAATCTTCCTGTTCTTGAACAGTTAAAATAAACATTAAAAACAATTAAATGATTCTTTACATGTCAAATGCTCTGCAGTTCCATTGCTTATCTTACTGATATTTTCACCGTAAGAGATTTTTTGGACTACTAACACAGATAAATTATTAGGATTTTTTTTTCTGTTTGGATGTAAAAATTCTCAGTGATACAAAAACAAGTTCTGTCTTATTTGTATTCCTTGATAATTTGTCATATTTGATTAGGAAGATATTCAGTTGGCATTATGTCAATTAACCTATTAAAAAGATTATATCTGCTCAGAGTGCTTTAAAGCAGCAGTCCCCAACCTTTTGGGCACCAGGGACAGTTCCATGGAGAAAGGTTTTTCTGCAGACCAGAGGGGACATGGCCTTGTGCCCACAGATGGGGCTTCGCTTGTTTGCGCAGCCCGGTTACTAGCATGCCACAGCCCGGTGCTGGCCCACAGATTAGGGGTTGGGGATCCCTGCTTTAAAGTACTCTCTAAGCAGTTTACAAATGTCAGTAAATTGCCCTCAACAATCTGGGACCTCCTTTTACCAATCTCAGAAGGATGGAATGCTGAGTCAATCTTGAGCTGGTCAGAATTGAACTCCTGGCAGTGGGCAGAGTTTGCCTGCAATGCTGAATTCTAACCACTGTGCCACCACGGCTCCTTACTTGGTAACAGTATTTTTAATTATTACCCATTTATCAATTTTCTACACCACCCATCTCACCAAATTAGGCAGTTTACAAATTTTAACATATAAAACACTATGCACACTCTCCTTGTTTTCTTAAATATTATTCTGGATCCTATTTTCTAGAGAGTTGGTGGGAGCATCCGGCCATGGAAACAGATGTATGTCATTCTCAGAGGATGTTCATTATACTTATACAAGGATAAAAAAGAACCACCTATGCTTTCTGAGGAGGAACAGCCCATCAACATCAATGCTTGTTTAACAGACATTTCATATAGCGATACCAAGAAGAAACATGTGTTTCGGCTTACTACATCAGACTGCGAATACCTGTTTCAAGCTGAAAATAGAGATGACATGCTGGCATGGATTAAGGCTATACGAGAAAATAGCAGCTTAAATGATGAGGTTGTGTTCTTGTTAAAAATTTATTCTTCCTTCTTGTTGTATTTTGCAGAGATTGTGTTTTTCCAGACCCATTACGCAATTTCACATGGTAACCCTGACATGCAATAAATACAAGTTAACGGTATTAAAAATCCATAATCTCACAGGCTTTTTATAAAGTTACATGAGATTTCAATGTTCCTACCAGGGAAATAATACATCCAGTAAAATGTGAGAAAGTGATATTGGTAAGAGTGTCTATGAAGCAAAAAAGAATCATTACACCTTTGACTTTTGGCCACACTATCCCAAGTAAATTAAGGTTCAGCTAACATGAAATATAGCTCATTTAGATTGACAGAATTTAGACAAAGCAAATCTGGAAGAGCCAAAAGTAGTTTGCACAACCCTCCTTCCCCTTCTCGTCTGTGCCATACTCCGCTCACCGTTCTATGACCTAGTTTACTCCAGCACCTTCCCCTTGATATCCCTTATTTACACTGAATTTGAATTCAATTATGCATACCTGCGAGGCGTCTCCCTATCTTTCTTGTGTAGCCATTCCCTTGGGCCTTGCACACACCTGAGGGATGCCCTGCTCCTGTACCACAGCATACTGACAGCCTTCTTTTTCCTCTCTGTCCCTCACTTCATTGTTTTCTACCTCATAGTACATGTGCTACAATTCATGAATCACATGTTTCTTCTGCCTCCATGCACAGATAAAGCACATACACTTCACTTTGTGCAGATATCTCTTATAGCCTGAACTATATATGGAATGTTCCATGCTTGAAACAATTTTAGATAGCGATCATAATCAAGCTACTTTCGTAACATGCACTTGGATATTTGCAAAATTACACTAAATTCAGCTGTGCCTAAGAGATCTTTGTTATCACTATGCATACAATAATCTCTTTTTATGAGGAGGGGAAGGAGGGTTGAGTATGCTAGATTTGTGTTCTCTTAATTTCATTTTTGTTAATGATGATAAGATGTTTCTCTGCCTGTGGAGCTCTGTATGCAATTCTGGATTCTGAACTGCATGGAGAGCATCATTGTTCAAGTCAAATACAAATGTTTTAAAAATTGCATGTTTAGAATTCAATTCAATTCAATTTATATGAACATCAAGAAGGTGCTACAGTTTTACATAATGCCATTGAATTAGGTAATTTAGTGACCAGATATAAGTAGTTTGCTGATGAATGAAGGCGAATATATGGGGCCCAGAGTAATGTTGCAGGATCCAATCTGGGTCATTCACCGGCACCAGAAGAAGTTTTGTCTTCCCAGCTTTCAGATTCCTCCTGGAATCCGAAAGGGAAGCTAGAGAGAATTTTCTCAAGGATAGGGGCTCCAGCTTGAATCCAGAGGCTCAGAAGACAAAACTTCTTCTGGTCCCGGTGACTGACCCAGACTGGATCCTGCAATTTGCAGATGTTCCATTGTTAAAGTAAATTCAACACTGGGTAGTTAATATGTGCAACTCCTAACACAGGAAAGACATTTATTGTCTTCAAAAGATACAAAACTATCAATCCCAATAGCCTCAATTATATCCAGCAACATCTGAAAGGCCATCCTTGATTTTCCATGTATACTGTCCAATGTGTAATGTATAAAATGCTGCATCTTTTCTTGAAATGTTTCACTAATATGTATGCAGTCCAGTGTATGGTATTGTGTGTTTTAAAACTGGTGAGATTTTCGCATCTCATCTTTATATTTGATTTTTCCCCTCCCCGTTTTGATGTGTTTTCTTTATTTAAATTATAATTATCTTTCAATTTTCTTTTTATTAGTTTATAGTGTAAAATACAAAAATACAAAAGGAAATAGTAGGAAAAATAGGGGAGAAGGGAAAAGTGTAGAAAAGAAGGGGAAAAGAAAGAAAAGTCATTGACTTCCGATTCCCTTTGGTGCAGTAGAATAAGATAACTCTCCATTATTATATGCTATATAGTTTGTCCAGTCCTGAATATGACTAGTTAAATTTTAATTTGTGGAGCTGTGTAAAGCAGAAATTTCAAAATAGTTATCTATTTATTTGCAGGACACAGGTGTCACAAGCAGGGATCTAATTAGCCGGAAGATTAAAGAATACAGCACAATTATGGGGTAAGCTACCACAGTACCATTTGAGAGCTCAGTTAGTCAGCTACATGGATTTCCTGCTTTTAAATATTTTTTTTTCAGTGCTTCTAGTGGCAAAACTGAGCCACTTTCAAAACCATCCCGACCGAGCCTAATTAAAAGACAGACATTCCTTGGCACTAAAACTGAGCAAAGAACTCAGAGTCCACATTCTCCTAAGGAGGAATCAGAAAAGAAATTCCTTACTAAAGGTATTGTATACTGAATATAAGAATACTATTACTTACTCTAGGTTTTCCTATTATACTGAAGGAGGCCTGATGGTGAGGACACTATGTGTCATGGGGTTTGGAGTTTCATTGATTCTTAGAAGTCCATTGAATAAACATTCTAAGCTATGATAAGTGATGATGAAACTCCTTTTGTGCTGGGAACTTTTGATTATTCCTTGTTTATAAGAAAACTCCAGATCAGAAACAATCTGGAAAACAGTGATTTGAAATGTGCCCCCCCCCTCAGAATATGCATGCATGTGGGGTAGAATTGAAAAGGGAGTGGGAAAGAGTGTGGGATGAAATAGACTGAAGCAGAGGGGTTAGGGTTACCTATATAAAAAGGATAGAACCATTTCATTCTGTAGTTGTGATAATTCCATATAATTTTGGGAAAGAAAGTTGATAAATACAGAGTATCTTCTGTTTTGTTATGAAGTCACGAAGCTTTGGAGATATTTGCAATCTTCTGTCAAGGAAAGTGGAAATGGCAGTGGGATCGGTAGGAATAAAACCATCATTCTCTGATTACTATACTCAGAACTACAATTTTGTTTTTCATTGTAGCAGTTTTTGATGCAGCCTGTTTTAAAACAAGGTTGCTTATTTCCATCTAATTGTTTTCTTATTTATATAAATGTAATAAATATAGCATGTTCTTTTGCTAAATATTTGAGTTAGGTCTCACAAGAATATTGCATTATTTCTTTAAAAATTACTAGCTTAATAGTTATTTGAAAGTCAGAAGAGATATTTAAGTATGGATACGAGGTTAATAAGGAATATATTCCCCACAAAATAAATTTATATCTCAAAAGTAAATCTTAACACAGTTTAATTCAGATAAGAATCCATTCTTGAATTACAGTTCAATACATGGATTTGTACCACATTCAAAATGTGGGTTTCTGTCTGTGTAAAGTTTGTATTTCACAAGACTTCTAAATTAGAATATATTTAGTAGCATGGACAGAATTTTGTACAATTCATAATTTTATTTTATGGTTTATAATGTGCTAACCATGGTTCTTAATATTTGCACTTTGCTTAGAGCTTAATAGTGACTTTTCAAGCTTTTAAAATGACATTTATTTATTCAATTTCTACAGCCACCCATCGCAACCAAGTGACTGAATAATGTATTCAGGCATTCAAAATCAAGTAATGATACACTGGAAAATTACATGAGATTTGTAAATCCCTTGTTTACTCATTTGTACTCTAGTCTTTTACCCTTTTCTTCTTTGTTTATATATTTTCTCTTATGGTATATGAGTGTATACACACACAAATATGTACATAGGTATGAGCGCATGCATATAAACATGCACACACACAACTATACATACAAATATCATTTTGCTGATTGTGTCAATATGCAAACTGTAAATTGTTTGATTCATGTATTGTTCATATAGATTGCAGATGCCACTAAATTTGATTCTGTTCAAAGTTAATATAATTGCTAGACATCGGTTGCTAAGGTTGTGGTAAACCTGTGGCCTGATTGTGGAGAAGCCGTAGTCTCTAGTCTGTTTCAAGATTTAAGTGTACTAAGTATCTTATATTCATCTATTATTTTGTTGGTTTATTTGGTCATTATATCCAGTTATATTCCATTAGCTTTCTGAAGGCTTTAAATGACTTGTTTTCTTTTTTGTTCTTCCTTGAAGAAAAAGATGAGACAAGCCCACCCAAAGATAAAGGTATATGGCGAAAAAACATTCCAAGCATCATGAAAAAAACATTTGAGAGGAAGTCATCTGCTGCTTGCACATTTGGTGTCAAACTAGTTGATTGTCCCCCAGCAGAGAGCAATAAGGTATATTCATTTTTTTAAAATAAAGTCATGCTTATTAATAATTTCTTTGAAAAATATTCTTTGAGAGACATAAATAGTAAACACAAACTTTCGTTCCTCTTTGGATTTTTCAGTGTATTCCAAGAATTGTTGAAATATGCTGCAATTTAGTTGAAGAGAGAGGTCTTCAATATACTGGTATTTATAGGGTTCCAGGAAATAATGTTGCCATCTCAAATATGCAAGAAGAACTAAACAAAGGAATGACCGACATTGATCTTCAAGATGATGTGAGTTCTGCCCTCTCTGTTCTAAATTCTCATAGTATTTCTTTTTAATGATAATGTTTTGTTTGCTCAATTTTTAGAAATGGCGAGACCTGAATGTCATAAGTAGTTTATTGAAGTCCTTTCTCCGAAAGCTTCCAGAACCACTCTTTACTAATGGTAAGTTTTGATTCAAAGTAGAAAGGAAAAAGAAAACCATTGAATAAAACACATCAGTGATTATCTATGATAAGTTAAATTAGAAGACTGTTTTGTTAGAATTCAGTTAAACATGTTCTCCTTAATTTTAGTATTGCTTAGATAGATCAGGATTCTTTGGCAGATGGGTTAGTTGCTCAGAGATATATATTACTGGCTTATATGTAGAAAACCCAGGTTTTATTCTACTTAGCCTATAAAATTGAAGCTGATACATAATGACCTATCTCTGCCTAAGACTATGAACAACTATTGCTAAATAGAATAAACAGTTCCAAATTGTAATTATCAGTTGTTGGATTTTTCATTATATTTCTTCAGGTAGTCACATATACAGGTTGTAGCCAGCAATTCAAATACTGTACAGTCCTCCCAGTCACATATTAACCTGTAGGGTGAATCCATTTTCTTTCTCTATGAACAAGACAAACATGTCTTGAAGCCCTGGTGGACTGCGATATGTGGCTAGGGAACTGGGTGAGTCATAATTTATGTCAGAAGATAATAGTTGGGAAATAAATATTAAAAATATATTAGTATTCTACTTTTTTGCCTTTTTTTAGTGGCCCCATTTCTGTGAATTTGCTGCCAATGTGGTATAGTCGTTGGGCTACTGGATTTTTCTAGTTACTTATTTCAGCACAAAAAAAAAAAAAACATACCAGGGATAACTTCTCTATGACAAGATCAGAGGCACTTGCATGGATTATTAAAATAAATTGGCAACAACTAGATGAAATACATAGTAGAATATATAAACTTCAAATAAAAGCCACTTTGTATATATTTGAAATGGCATTTCTTTATAAATGCAAATCATACCATGTTTTTCTAATCCCGCAGTATCAGTAGTTTTGTAAAGGCATATTTTCGAACTAAGTTCTTATACAGAGGATCCAGGCTATCCACACTGGTTGAAACAAAGTTAGAGTAAGCAAAACATTATGTTACTCTGGTGATGCAAGTCCATTTTTAATGCTTAGTTGGTCCTCTTTCTCCTGCAGGGGGGTTGTAATGCAGGTCTTAAAATAAAATTATTTTCTTTATTTTTAGAGAGATATGCAACTTTCATAGATGCCAACAGAAAAGAAGATCCTGTCGAGCGACTAAAAACATTGAAAAGCCTGGTATGTTGCTTTTGATAGGGATTGACTCAGATGCAATTATATTTTGGGATTATTTTAAAATTTTATGTTGATATCATCCTTTTCAGATCCATGATTTACCTGAACACCATTATGAAACACTTAAATTTCTCTGTGCACATCTGAAAATTGTAGCAGAACATTCAGAAGAAAACAAGGTAACTGGCTTATCTACAGTATACCAAGAATTTATATTTCTGATAACTAAATTCAGTGCTTGCTTCTAGGAGCTGTGGTAATAGAATTCTTTTTCTTGCTATAAGGTATACTCCAGATTATTTGGAATGTCAATATTTTAGTCTGCATTTGCTTTCTCAGCTTATTGGCTCTGTGGCTGTTTTAGCATAGTGAACATTTAGGAAAACCAATAATATAAGCATGTACGAAAAAAACAAATGAAGAAGGAAAGGACTGCAATTTTCCTTGGGAAAAAAAGGAATTCTTTCTTACTGGGTTGTTTTCACATAGAGACAAAGCAAACAAAAAATACATCTTATCCTACAGGTGAAAAATATTTTTGTTTTCTTTTTTTAAAGTTGTATACCTTGATCTGCAATTTTTGTGGAAAAACATTATTAGGTTTTGGGGGTTCCTTTTCTTTTCTCACATATTGGATGGACAGATAATGTATTTAGGTACACAGAACCCATAGCTGCTGCATTATATGGCTAGGAAATTGTCCTGTAGTTACAGTTTTAAGATTTATTGGAGAAAAAAATGTGTACTATAGTCCATAGGAAAGTCACCTGCTCAGCATTTAATTAAAGCCTCATAACATGTTGAGAGATTCATGTACTACTTTAGTTTGAGGAGAGGAATGGATACAACCAGACTTCTCTTTCTAGACTCTTACTTATGAACACTGAAGAATTATTAGATTCAGGAGCAGATTAAAAAGAGCAAGATCCTGATCTGCTACATAAATCTGTTTCATACATTGATCAGCTTTTGCTTTGAATTTTCCTTCTAATGAGGATGCTCGGATTAATTTAGCAACATTGGCTACTACTATTAGATGCTTCTGCTTTTTAAGAGAGATATACATTTATGTAAGTACAATGATGTGCTTGCTGTAAGTACAGTTATTGACTTTATTCTTTAGATGGAACCAAGAAACCTGGCAATAGTATTTGGTCCAACACTTGTGAGGACATCTGAAGATAACATGACTAATATGGTTACTCATATGCCAGATCAATACAGAATTGTAGAAACACTTATCCAAAAAGTAAGTGAATTCATTTCATGTTGCTAGAGAGCTTGTTCAGTCCAGCCTCCATTTTGATTTTTTTTCATAAAGTACTTCTGATCTCAATGTCCACATTTTAATTCTTTCATTTCTGGGGAGTTTTTCACTTCTTTTATTTTGAATTGTAGCATGACTGGTTTTTCGCAGAAGAAGATGCTGAACAACCCTTTGTAAGTACTAACCTTAACTAAATGGATTCTCCTCCTGTTTTAATTTAGAGCATACAAATGAATACATGATTTTCACCTCTCTCCAATGTGTTCTAACAGTGTTCTTTGTTCACCACACCAAAACATACTATCCATGAAGTAATGAAAATAACATATAAAATGAAGTTACACATTTCTCTTCCAGGGTAGTTTTTTCTCCATTTAATATGCCAGCTTGTGTATTTTCTTTCTTCTAAAATGTTATATAGGAAGATTGGTATTCTTTTCAGTTCTCAGATGACTAATTTTTCTAAATAATGTTTACTGACTGTGATTGGATGATGAAGAAATCTTTGTTTATTAACTATAGACAGCAGTTCAGGAAGCAAACACAGTAGAGTCTCAGCCAGTGCCAAGCATAGATCATTTACTCAGCAACATTGGAAGAATTGGAGTATATCCTGGAGATGTATCAGGTAACTTTTGCCTGAACAGCTTGTAGGTTAGAAAATTCTCTCTTCTGATGATTTATTATAATTGTCTCCTTTTTCTTTCTTTGCTAATAAACTCAATTTCTCTCTTTATCTACATGATCTTGGGTGTATTATTTAAAGGTCAGCAGTGAGCTGAGCATGTTGCATGACGTAGGTTGGAATGCTTTCTCAGCAACCAATATAATTCTGAGACCAAGAAAACGGCATTGTCACAAGTGTATCATTGATTATGGTTACCCATGTACTTTTTCACATGAGATGGATAAGGTATCTACTAGTTTGTAAGTAGTTGAGGAGAAGGCAGAAAGTTTTAAATTCTAATTTAGTATTTCTGTTCTAATGATAGTATTTTTTTCAACTTAGAAAGGCAAATCAAGATTTTGAAATTCATTTTGCTCAACTAAAAAGTATATTTTTCCAAACTATATTGCAACTAATTATTTGTTTATTATTAAATGTTTTTTCTTTTTTATGACTGCCACCTTATTATTCAGCTAAGTACTACTACTACAAACTGCCACCATACTGTTTCACTAAGTATGTTTTTATCCCAAATGTTATTACCTTGTCTCTAGTTTGTGTTTTAGTTTATAGAAAACTTTTTTCAGCATTTTATTGAAACAGTCCCTTTGTCCTGATGCTGAAATAGGAGAAGTGGGAGGAGTCTATCACACGGTGATGTCACTAGTGGACTCTGTGGTGTCACTGATGGACAACTGGAACTGTAGGAAGAAGGAGGACTGTTGCCCACATTGTAGCTGCCTTGTCTGCAGAAACCCCCGTTTCTTGTAAATGCAAAAGGACTAGTTGATCTGTACTGTAAATTTATCCTTTCAAGAGTATTTGAACAGATCAATGCTACTTTTTAAAAGTATTTCTGCTGTTTCTTGTTACTTTTGAAGCAGACCCTGAGGAGAAATAGCATGGTATGGTCCACTGGTTTTTTTAGTCATTAGCCATGTGTCAAAAGGGGCATGGCATGGGGTTCAGCTCATTAATTCTCCAGCGGGGTCACTCTCCTAGCAAGTTGGAGAATGTATTTTAGTTACTCTGCTAGCCCCTCCGTACCCCCCTTTTAATTGTATAACCTCTGTTGTTTTATTTTGCCAAACAGTAAAATTATGGTGTCCATTTTTCATTTCATAATAACGCTTCTGTTTTTGAGATGAGTACAAAACTGATGGCTGTGGAAAAAAATCTTGATAATGATAAATTCTTAAATGTATAGCTCGGAGGAGCGCTGAAATGTTAACTGGGGCTTTTAAATACATAAAGCCCAATATAATTTGACAGCATACAAACAACTGCAAAAAAGAATTTTAATAATTGTTTCAGAAAGTAGTCTAAGGCACTAAAGATGTTTTAAATGTACATTTCATTTGCTGAAATGTACAGAGTACAGTCCTGAAAAGGTCCCCCAGCTGCGGTTTTGCAGGGCTGTGCGCTTAGAGCATTAAATAAATATTAGTATTTCTGTTTTATTTAGAAGAAAGGGCTTTTTTGCCATTTCTGTCATTGAGCTGATTCTGCCTCCAACTCACAGCATCCTTTCATGGCGGTGGCTTTTTGTGGTGCAGCTTGCATCTTTGTGAGCAATTACTATCCACTGTTCTGATTATTTAATTTTTCTGTTATCTGTTTGCTCTCACCTTTTGTTGTGCTTGTCTTCTTTCATACTTCAGCATTGTATAGAGTAAAAACAAAACTTTGTGCCACATTGACTGAAGTGCTGTGTTGATTTTTTTTTTTCTCCCCAATAGATTCAGCTACTGGTGACTTTGCAAAATCTAAGGTAAATCATTCATCTGTATTTTTACAGAAATGAGTCTATACATTACAATGTTGAAAGAGGGCTCACTGGCTTATTTATACTAGATCTCTCATGTACTGTTGATAAAAATGTATTCAGACAGTAAAGAGCTTCTCTTTCTTGTATTAAACCACTTCGAGCTTTGAACTGGGCTCTGATTTTTATACATGAATTAAAATGACTAACCCACTGTACTTCTTGGCCTGATTATTAAGGATAAGAATTATGTCACTCACTTTAATCTTGCTATGTGTAAACGTAATATGCTTAATCTTATTTCATTAGCATGATTCATGATGCAACAATTAATTTTAAAGATAGATTGTGGGAAAGAAGTTAAGTTCAAATCCCCTGTTGTCCAAAAATGCTCTGAATGGAAGATTATGTGAATTTACACTTAAAAGGATACAATTGGTGGCATATAATGTAAGAGACATTAGACAGATACTTGTGTTCTTGGCATCTTATTTTATGAGTTTTTTAAAAATCAAGTCTGCACCAAACCTGTATTGAAAATATAGAATATATTATAAAATATTTAAGCAGTACAGAATGAGTTTTGTTTTTTTAAAAAAAGGAATGATAGAACAAAATTAATGTTAATTGGTCTGAGACATTCACAATTGCAAATCTTGATTAAAATAAAGTCATTCAGTCAAAATTGCAATTCTGATTAATGTTAATTGGTATTTGATAAATAATCAACTGCATTTTAAGAATATACTGGTAAGATTATTTTTAATTTGGCACTGTTTCAAAAAAAAGGTGCTACATTCATTTCATTTCACCTTAGGCCACTGCGCTTTTACAAATTATGAATGTTTGCATTTAAAGAAAAAAGCCTGTATATCACTGTAACTGAACTAGTACAGGTAAACTAAAGTAAAGAGAAAAGATTTTGATAGCAATCTAGTTCTGGCTATGCAAGGCTGATCAGGTTCATAAAACCTTGTGTTTATAATGGCTGTGACTTCCTGCAGTGTCCTAAGCCACAAACTGAGAAACCATGACCTATGTAATTGATATGCTATGGTGCTAGAGCAGATTTGTGCAGAACAACTCAGCAATGACAGGTAATAACATATAACTCAGTTTCATATATATATGAATTTGCTTTGGAAGATTTGTGAAGAAAATATTATGAACCACAACTATGATTTCTTTTTCTTTTTTTTTTAATACTTGTAATGGGTTTCTTTCCATACAGGGTTCTTGGGGATCTGGAAATAATCAATATAGCAGAGAGCTGCTTAAATCCTCTATATTTGCCACAGCCAGTCGCAAGCGGAAAAAAGCAAAAGATAAACTGCAACCCAGCAGCTCTGAAGATGAGTGGGATAATGTTTTTTTTATGAAGGAGCCTGCAGAGCACCATTGCAATGATTCAGCAAAAGAGGACACATCTAAAACAGAGCTGGAGAAGGAGACTACAGGGGACATGCAGAGAACAGGATTTCCGAAAGAAAAGGAAGACTGTGTTAACAGTCTTTCTGCAACAAGCGAGGGTGAAATGTTGCTGAGGAAAGAGAATGTGTCCTCTGAAGAACCTTCAACATCTTATATTCGGAAATATAAAAGATCCCCAAATCTCATCTCTTGGCAAAATACACAAAAAGATTACCATAAACTGTCCAATTTCCAGATTGCTTCTGTGTTGGAAGAAACTATTTTGGACTCAGGCACTACCCTCAGCTGCACTTCACAAGCTTCTCTGCAAAAAATCTCCTGTAAAAGATTAGGAGGCCCTGTAAATAAACACAGTGAATTTTTAACAGCTGATGTTGGCTCCATCACTTCAGGTTACTCCACAACATCCTCCACGGCATATCTAACTGGTGTAGATTCCACAGGGCTATGTCCTGAAGTGCTTTACTCGGTGACAGAGAGTAAAGGAGAAGAGGCTGATGATGAAAGTAGTGAACTGATCAGTGAAGGTCGACCCGTGGAAACAGACAGCGAAAATGATTTTCCTGATTTTGCAGCAAGTTCTTCTGTGGATAGGCTGTTCAGGGAGAAGACTCAAGACATGGCAAAGAACATTAGGAGGAACTCTGAAGAAAGTGAAGTAAGTTGTTCAGGAGGAACTTCAACACCAAAGTTAGATAGTCGCAGACTTTTCAATTCATACAAACTTATTGAATGTGATACTCTATCTCGGAAAAAGTCAGCCCGGTACAAAACAGAGAATGAAGGCTCAAGGGATGCAAAACATGAGGAGGACATAAAGAAAGGAAAGACAGACAGCAGCTTAACCACATCATCAAGAAGTGAACCTGTCAAACAGGAACCTACATGGAGACTTAAGATTCCAGACAGATTAAAACTACGTCTCAAATCATCTGCTGATGATATGCTTGGAACTGGCAATCAGAAGCCGAACTCTGCAGAGAGCTCCAAAAGAAAAAACATCAGGCGAAGGCACACATTAGGAGGACAGAGAGATTTTATGGAATTGAGTGTTCTGAATGCATGGAAAACTCAAGAGAAATGCCCAAGCATGGAGAAAGACACTTCAGCAGTAAACCGGTTGAAGGCAAAATCCCCATCCCAGTACCCAGAGTGGGTTGCACAAGAGGGTCTGCGGAGTAACACAGTGAACCTCAAAATAAATAAAACTGAAAGAATGAATGTAAGCCAATTAGATGATTCCTCAAAAGCAGAATCCTCATTTTCTGCAGTGTTATCATCAGGAGGCGATAGTACCAGTTCTTCTGGTAGTTCTTCATCTGAGGCCTGGTACATAAAACCTATGGAGTACTCAGTACTCTAGACTATTTCAGTGGCGAAAGCTACCAAAATATGAACAAAGTCCATCATCCTGGTTGTTGATGCTCACCCTCATAAGTTATCTGGGACCCTGGAGATTATGTTTCAATTCTGCTAGTCTCTTTGACACAGTTAAATAGCCACAATTCAGTAGCGTATTTTCTTTCCTCTTTTCCTCAGTTGTTCTGTAAGCTTTTCCCCACCCTCCACAGTGTTAGTATGCACTATGCATAATGCAGCTAAAATATTATTAGTTGGAAGAAAAAATAATTCTTTTTATTTTAGTCATTAACAAGTGCCTCATCAAAAAAAATTTTAAAGGTTCATTTGTTAAGGTGCCATAATAGTTGTTATATTTAGACATTTATGTTAAATGTAAAGAACAAATTGATGCATTTTATTGTAGAGACTGAAAGGGAGAATGTAAGCCAATTAGATGATTCCTCAAAAACAGAGTCCTCATTTCCTGCAGAGTTATTATCATCTGGAGCTAATAATACCAGTTCTTCTGATAGTTCTTCTGAACTCTGGTTCATAATATCCATAGAGTACTCAGATTTCTAAATCACTTCAGTGGGGAAAGCTACCAATATATGAACAAAGGCAACATCAGCCTGGCTGTGGATGTTCACCCTCATAAGTTATCTGGGCCAGGAGGATATATCTTGATTCTACCAGTATCTTTGAGACAATTAAATGGTCACCACCACAATTCAGTAGCTCTCCTCTCCCCTCCCTTCCCCTCCCCTCTCTTGTTCTTTGTTGCCCCCACACAAAGTGTTAGTATGCACTATGCATTAATGCAAATACAACATTGTTAGTTGGAAGAAAAAATATTATTTGAGTTTAGTTGTTAACAAGTGCCTCATCAAAAATTTTAAAAAATTAAAAAGGTCTTTTGGTTTGTTAAGGTGCCATAATAGTTGTTACATTTAGACATTTATGTTAAACATAAAGAACAAATTGCTGCATTTTACTGTTAAGACATTTCATTACATTTTTCAAAATTTAACATATATGGATACAGAGCTTCCATTTAGGCATTCCAGTTGGATTTTTGAGTTTTATATTCTTATTTTAATACAGTTTTTGAGTATTATGTGACTTGAATTTTTACTCTTTCTGTAAAATAAATAACTTAAGTATAAATACACTATGTGTGTATCTTTTCCTCAAACACCAGCTTTGATATAAATGTTGTAACATAGAAGTGTAGATAGTAGATCCTGGATATGTGGATAGAACTGGTTTACCAAGAATATAATTCTGCATGAAGATTTAATAAATCCAGATCTGTACATTCTTCTGTGTATATCCACTTAAAACACTGGAAATAAATTGGTTTTGATTGTTCTTGTATGGACTGTTTTTCTTTTAACAGAGACAATAAACATGTCAAATTTGTATCTTCATAATATTCATGACTATGTAAAGCATAAAATAAAAAGGGATAATTGAAAGCAGTTATAGCATAGGGATTTGCTATTTAAAAGGGGGTGAATTCATTGATTAGAACTTGCTTGCAAATTTTATTAATCAATGGGATAAATAATTTTGTAGGGATTACTTATTTGATAACACACTTTAATTTTTCAAACACTGTTCTTGGGCATACTAAAATCTTGTGTAAGCTTGATGGGAGTTTAGTTTGTTTCATTACCAAAATAAGCTCCTTCATTTTACCTTACAAAAATAAAAAGTAAAATATTTTAGGAATTTTGGATAAAGTTACCATTCCTGGGAATTATTTCAAAGAAGACAGAATAATAACATAGTTGAAAGGGACCTTGGAAATCTTCTAGAATCTAGATCAACCCCCTGCTCGTGCAGGAGACACTGTATCATTTCAGACAACTGGTTGTCCAGTCTCTTTCTGAAAACTTTCAGTGATGGAGCACCCACAACTTCTGAAGGCAAATTATTCCATTGATCAAATTACTCTCACCATTAGGAAATTTCTCCTTAGTTCTAGGTTGCCTCTCTCCTTGGTTAGTTTTCATTCATTGTTTCTTGTCTAGCCTTTGGTGCATTGGAAAATAGTTTGAATAGATATATCAGGTCTCCCTTGGCCCTGTGGATTTTGAGCTAATATACAGTTTTGCAAATATGAGCATGTTGCAAGCTGTGAGGTGATAATTTTCTGAGTTATAAATTGGGCAGTTAACAGATGTAAATGAAACGTTCATTTAAGATAAAGGTTTGTACTTCAAAATAAACATTTCCATTAAAAAAGTTTTATATTGCAAATAGTTTACAGATAATAAAGCAAAGATCAAAAGAATTTAAATTTTGTTTGGATAGAAAATAATTTAAACTCAATGTTCAGCATACAATATTGTTTCTAATTATGAAATGAACACCAGAAATGAATCTCCTGAATTCTAGCGAAATATCTTCTCATTCAGATTCCTCTATTTTGAAACCCACATGAAATATTTGATCCAATAATAATTCCTTGTCCTGGTCTTCAAGTTCCTCCTTTTCACTTCTATGTCTCCAAGCATGACTTCTGCAACATTTTTCTTTCAAAAAATAAATGTCAGACAACTGGGAATGGCATCATCATGGATCCTTAGAGCCACCTTTTTAATGCCTCAGACAAAAAAAAATCTCAGCACTTACTCAGGCACAGCATAATATACAAATACATACATACACACACACACACACACACACACACACACACACACACAGTATAATGAATCATTTACATAGAATGTTATCAGTTCCCTTATGAACATACATAACATGATGAGACTCTTAATTGTGTTTGAATATGACTTAGGGCAGAGGTATCAAACTTGCAACGTCACATGACGTGTTGCGACGTATTGTGACTTTTTTCCCATTGTTGGCAATGGGGTGGGCGCAGTTTCGACATGACACATCCGGCCCGTGAGCTGGCAGTTTGACACCCCTGATTTAAGGTATTGAAAAACCTGAAAAATCAAGGATTGCTACAATCATGTCAACACCATCCTGGTTCTTCCAGAGGCCCAAAAAAAAGTATAAGTATTTCTTGCTTAGTGACCCTAATTGAGATTGGAATTCTGTCACTAAGCAATGCAGTGATTGGGCAAAATATCATATGACTGCATTGCAATGGCTGTAACTTTGAGGACTGGAAATAAGTATCATTTGTTAAGTGCTATTATATTTTTGGTCATAGAGTTCTACCTAGGGAGTTCTACCTATATAATCATTGCCATTTCCACACTGTCCTGGCTTGAAACCTAACTGAAAGTTTCACATAATCTATTTCCTCCAATACCCTCTGCAGTTGCAATCTTAGCACCCTTCCCTAAGAAGAGAAGGTTGGAAGGTGGATGAAAATTATTCAGCACTTTTTACATTTAACAACTGCAAATGATTTGCTTAACAACTGCAAATGATTTGCAAATGATTTGCTTGGTTTAAAAAATAAAAAAGTAAAATTGAGTGTGATTCATTTAACAACTCTCTTGCTTAACAACGGAGGTTTGGGTCTCAGTTGTGGTCTAAGTTAAGAACCACTTGTATTGTGTAGAAAAGTTCTTCTACAGTTGGATGGAAAACAGACAGCTTCTCCAGCATGTAGAGGAATGTAGACTCCACGCAAGGGTTGATTTAGTCTTCTAGACCTATCAGACCAAACAATCAAAGTTGCCACGCCTCTGCAGGGTCTGACCATGCCCCAGTTTTCCTTTGGTCTCAGCCCTGAAGACACATGAGAATTTGGCTCCTAATTTAGATTCAAAAAGGTAGTTATTGCCATTCGTGGTTTCTCTATCCTTTTTTTCCTTCTGGGGCGGGGGGGATTGGTTCAGCTCTGAGCTCAGTGCTGCACCATTTCTTCTCTCTTAATCAATTCCCTTCTCCGTGAGTTTTCAGAGGCAGACAGCTGATCGTAGATTGCTGCCTCCTCATTACAATCCACCTCCCCCACCCCCTCCCAAGATCTTCGCTGTGAATGCGAAGCTAAACTACTAATTTTCAGCTGAAAACTGAAATCACCTTCTTAGGTTTGTTACCAATTCAAACAACCTGCGGGCACCATTTTGAGCCTCTAGAAGGCTCGATCCTCACACTACTCAAGTACTTCCTTGTTACTGTTGATTGTCAGCTGTAAATTACCAAAAAAAAGGAAAAAAAAACAGCAGGTGAACTGTTTGACTAAAAGAGCTGATTACCAGATTACTTGCAGGAGAGGATTTTTTCTCTCAGCTTGTTTCATCTCTCATCAGATTGTCCCGGCCGCCATTTTGGGCTCCGCCCGATCACACACATTAAATTGACTGCTTTGTCCTAATTACAGCCTTTTCAGTCACGAAGTAACTTACTTATTTGGTGATTCTCCCTAAGTGGGGGGGGGAATAGGAGTTCTAATTACATTCCTTTAGATCTTCATTCAGCTGCTTAATAGGCACCATCTCAGGTTGCCTAGTGGACATAGGGAAAATACCTTGAGTCTCTCACTCCATTTTATCTGGTAATATTCCAGACTGTGACTTACCAGTACCTTTTAAATATCCAGTGCCAACAGATTGGATGGCTGCTTGCCTTGCCTGTTTTCCGCTGTCTGCATAGTGGTCGGCACTTACTGTCCTAGCCGTCACTAAGTGAGACACGAGGGTCAAAAAAAATCAATTAAAATAAAACAGAATTAAATTAAACAAGATATATACCTATATTCATATATAGACTTATCTTTAATTTGATACCTTTTCGGCCAAATTGTCTCTATTACAGTGGGCCTGAAAAATTGAATGGGGAGGACAGCCCCTGAGCGTAGCGCGGCTTATATCGCGTAGTAACTCCATGCTTAATGGTGGGCCGGACCTCACAGACCCTCATGCAGGCCTGTACCACCCAGACCAAGGGCCGATCCAGGGATCTCCTGGTGAAAACCTGCCCTTTCTTCTGCAGAACAGGACTGATCCAGGGATCTCCTGGTGACAACCTGTCTTTTCTTCTACTGCAATACAGGCCAAATCCAGGGATCTCCTGGTGAACACCTGTTGTTTATTTCCTATTGTTTATTTCAATATGGTGGATAACACCGTTTCACAGGCTTCCACCTCCAGTGGAAATATAAAACACAAGCCATCCAGTCTGGATACACCTGCAAAAGCCAAGGCCAAGGTCAAACGGACCTCTAAGGCCAATGACAAGCAAGCAGATAGCAGACATGGGGTGCTGGAGCGACAATTCTCCAAAGCCCAGTGGCAGACAGTAGAGACGCAGCTTATCCCCTCACCTCCTCTTGCATCCACATCAGGGGAGCATCGACCTTCCCCTCTTACACAGGCTTGGTCTCCCGAGCAGACCCTGGACCAGGGTTCCTTGCTGGGATATGAACGGGACCATCTGTCCCTCTTTGACCGAGAATTGAGATTACAGGTCCAAGATTCAATTCCAGCTGCTGAGCCAGGACCTTCCTCAGTATCTTGTGGGTCTCAGGGGGAGGTTACTACAGTCGTCCCTCTCCCAATCCCTTCAGCATCTTTCACGCTGATGGCGGCGGGTCTTCGGGGCCCCGAACATCCTTCATTTACTGTCCAGCTCCAAGCCATGATCTCACAGGCGGTGGTTCAGGCAATGGCGGCTTCAGGGAGGGCCATTCCAGTCCAAGGACCGTCAACCCCCCCCCTACGCCCACGTAAACTAGGCATCCCAGGGAGTATGTGATTTCAGATCACGGTTCTCCACCTCAATCTGAAGGGAGCGAGATATCAGATTTTTCTG